GCTCCCGCAGCTCCGGCTGGAAAATCGCAACTTTTAAGTACAAACATAGTACGCGGAGCACATTCCCGCAGCTCCGGCTGGAAAATCGCAACTTTTAAGTACAAACGTAGTACGCGGAGCACACTCCCGCAGCTCCGGCTGGAAAATCACAACTTTTAAGTACAAAAAAATAGTACGCGAAGTACATTCCCACAGCTCCGGCAGCACTTGCTCAGAGCAACTTGCGCAGAGCAACTTGCGCAGAGCAACTTGCACAGAGCACTTGCACAAAGCACTTGCGGACCTATCTCGGCGCGGAGAGCGTCTCCCCAGCTCCGCCGGAAAAAGAAGAAAGAACTCAGAATCGAGAAGAGAAGGTAGAAAAGGAAAAGTCGGCTTGCAATGTAACGCCTGAAAACGAATACTTGCGCTTTACGATGCCGAAGAAACGCCCGAGAAGTTAGCTTGCGCTTTAGGATAGTGACGTAACACTCGAAAATTTGGCTTGTGTTTTAGGACAGTGCATTTCGCTTGTGAAGTGAGATTGGGCAGTTGGCAGTTGTCATTGGCTTGTGAAGTGAGATTGGGCAGTTGGCTTTTGTAATTAGCTTGTAAAATAAACATGCGCAGTTGGATTTTGGAGTGATAGGCAGCTGACAAGAGCAATAGTAGCCGAAGCTTGGATGTCATGAGTGTCTCAGTAGCGGAGCTTGCCCAGAGAATGTTTGCGGCGACAGTTGATTAGGGCGACACGGCTTCTTTGTGTTGGTGTTATGCTTCATTTTTTGGAGGGGTGCTCCATGAGGTTGCTGTCGCTTGTCATTGCTGCTTGCACGTGCATTCATGCTCAAGGCAATCCTCCGTGTTAGTACTGTAGAAGGTGTCATCGCTCAGATCGCATCTTCCGAAGTGCGGATTCGTTTCCTTGGCGCACCAATCTTGTCAAAGCAGTTACACACAGCGGGTAGCCAGAAGATATCAGAGTCGCGCGGCGCTGGCGGGTATTTCCGACGTGTCGTGTTGCCATGTCGGATTCTGGTTGCCAGCGACGTGCGCAGGCTGGACGTTGGCATGCGAGAGCGCACGATTGTTTCGCATACCCCTCTTGGTTTCTTGGAATTACCACTTTTGGCTTGCGCTGTTGGTTTCCACCGTGTGTCTTTCAGCGCGCGCAGCAGGCTGCGAATCCCTTGGATGCTCTTCCTGATGCTGAGCATTTACGGGCTGAAGCAGCAGTACATGGTCAAGACTGGCTCCATGCTGAGCTGGATGGCTCGATGAAGCTGGACAAGCTTCGTGCCTTCGCAGCTGGCCTCGGCGTGCAGCAGAGGGATCCCGCATCTGGTAGTCGGCTTTCCAAGAGCCAGCTGCTTGAAGCCGTGGTTGCAGCTCTACGTTCGCGACCTGACGCAGAGGCATGGTTTCGCAGTTACAAGTAGACCCCACAAGTTTAGTTTTCTTGCTTAGCTCTTTTAGCACTTGTTCACGACAAGCCTTGAGATACCGGAGCGTGTCTTTCAGCGCGCGTAGCGGACAGAGGAGGGCTTACTCGAAAGAATGTTTTTGTCATGGTTTTCCAAAGCACTTGTTTCTTGTCAACAGTGTTCGCGCGAACAGAGGAAAAGCGCTTGTTTTTGTTGACGGTTCTCCCCCGCCTCGCCTTCCGCACCACGCGCCTGGTGGTTGGTTCAAGCTAGCGCGGCAAAAAAATCAACATCGCGGTAGTTTGCTTGCTGCCTGTTTGTTCATGTTGGAGCCGCCCGAAGCATGGTATGCATCATCGAGATCCACATGCCGAGCCACTCGATCTACACGCGCGACATGATGGTGGGCAAGATCGCGATGAGCAGGGAGAACCTGCACTGAGAAGTGCATGAAATTCCTCAACTTTTAGTACCATATTCGAGCTACTGACAAAAAGCGGAATCTGTCTGTGTGCAGCTTGTCGCGATTAGACTACTTGATCGCTAACAACTAACTTGCCTCTATGCTTCCGGGCCACTCGTCCTCTAGTTTTTTTTTTATTTGACTCTTTAAATTATAGGCAAATCATAGTGATTTAGGTGAAGCAAAACCCAATTTGTTTGAAACAAGTAGCCTGTACCGGTGAAGCTGAAAGAAGTAGACTATACTAGTGAAATTGAAGCAAACAGACCCAATTTTTCTGAAATAAGTAGATTAAACCAGTGAAGCTGAAACAAGCACACCCAATTTTCTGAAGCAACTAGATTGTGCCAGTGAAACTAATTTGACCTAGATTTTCTGAAAGACCAGACTGATAGCAATGCCTATTGGGCTTTTGCCATTGGCAGCTTTGCGCCTCACCCCTCGTAGCCACCAGCGGATCGGCAGCATCGTGTGCTACTTGCGCTCCGACACGGGCCAGGAGCGGGACCAAATCGGACGATCGAAGCAGTCAGCGGACCGAGGCTCCCAAGTTTTTCCCCACTCAAAAATTGGGATTGAAAATTCATTAATTTGTTTAGTGTCTGTGTTGGGATATGAACCTTGAGAAATCATTTTTCTTGTTTTAATTAAAATATTTCGTTTGGTGATCCTAATAAACATGCCCAATTTCGAGGCATGCCTATAATCAAACCTACGACTAAAGGCGGTGATATACACAGAAGGTTTAACATCCACATTTCCTATAACCAATTTCATCCGTTTCCTTTCTAGCATTTAGAGGGGTAGAGCCAGGTAAAGATCCTTATAAGCGTTACTCCATGCCATAAAAACGTTTCTTTTCTTCATTTTTATTTTCCGATTAAATTAGTCATCAATTTCTTTAGAAGAATTAAAATTATGTATGGGTTCTTATAAAGCTCTCTAACCATAGCGCAATCCATTATTCGATCAATCCGAATAAAACCTAATTAAGCACTTCCATCAATTTATTCTCAATCTTTTTATATAAATATAATTCCTTTTTTATAAGAACCCAAAGAGAATATCATCATTATAAATCCTATTATACCTTATTAAAGGCATAAAATATACTTGTAAAATCATAATTATTATTCAATAATACGATGTTTATTTCTTTACTACCTCATTTGTTTATAAATAATATTATATAATCCTCAAAGCGACCTAAATCGATTTTGTATTAATCGAGTTATTAAAAATAAAGATAAAAAGAAAAAAAATATCGAGAAAAATACCACGAAAATAATATTAAAAAAAAAATATAAACGAAACTTAAAAATCCTAATAAACAAAAGATTTCCAAAGAATAATTCATATTATCGATAACAGATCGATATAAACAAAAAAGATAAAAAAAATAAACCAAATAAATATAGAAAAAAAAATATAAAATAACCTAAAAATAAAAAATATAAAACAAAACAAAATTCAAAATATAATCAATCAAAAATATTAATTAAAACAAACCGAACCTAAATAAATAATCCAATCAAAATAATAATACAAAATATTATTTTATAACATTATAAAAAAACAATAAATATAAATAAATTTATATTAAAATATATTACTAATTACATAATTAAATAAAATTATTCAATTTATTTTAAAAAATAATATTCAACAAATAAATATAAAATTTATTTATCAATTTTTAACAATATCCAATATATATATATATATACCATCCCCCCCTCCAAAACCAATGTTTTAAACCTCAACAATTACCAAATTCAAAATAACACATAATATTTCATTTATACTTTTGCCTCTATAAAATATATTCAATATATTTTTCAATTAATTAATCAACCAACTAATCAATAAAGCAATTAATTAGTAATTAATTAATTAATCAATCAATTATTCCAATTTCCTTTTTTATAAAATATTTTAAAAATATACTAAACCATTCAAACAATACACAAAACATACCAAAATCATACTATAAAAATACTAAAACAATACTAAAACATATCAAACCAATTCTAAACATATTCCCACAATAATACCAATTTCTTTATTAAATAACATAATAAATAACATATTCTATATTTTTTTAATATAATAAAATCATATTATATTAATTAAAATAATAATAATCAATAAATACTAAAACAATTATATAACTACCAAAAAAATACCCAAAATACTAAAATAATATAAAACATAAATACTAAACACATATTAACAATCTAAAAAGAAAATATATATATATATATACCAAAATAATATTTAAACAATATTATAACAAAACTAAACATAATCCCCTTCCCTTACTAAAACTATTTAAAATATACCAAAAACATACCAAAAGAAAACAAAACAATATTAACAAATATACTAAAATAATATCAAAAAATAACAAAAATCCTAACAAGCATTCAAAAATCATACCACAAAAAGTCCCCATATCCTCCTAAATCCTTTTCTTTTTTCTTTTTTTAAAAATTATTTACATTTTTTATTATTTTCAATTTATTTCATTTTTTCAGTTTTATTTCAATATTTTCAGTTTTTTCAATTTCTTAAAAAAATACCCTTATACAATTATAATAATTAATTATTCAAACAATATTAGGAAAATAATAAAAATAAACACTAAAAACAAACTAAAAAAACAACAACTAAAAAACATATCTAAAGAAATAAACAACAACTAAAACTAAAAAACATAAACAACAACTAAAAAACACACACACAAAACAAAACAAAACAAAAGATCAATAAATAAACTACAAAACCATAAATTCAAAAAGACATATCTTAAAAAGGTCCATATCTCCCTAAAATCCTTAGTTTATCAATGTTTTTCTTTTCAACTATTTCAGTGTTTTCAATTTCCAAAGCGTTTCCTTAAAAAAATGCCCTTATGCAATCATAATGCTTAATTACAGTATTAGCTACCAAATAAAAGGTTTTTGACTCTAATAAATGTGTTCTGGCAAATGCCGGTTTTAGTAACAGATAAATGTAAACATCAGTGTTTTCTCACAAAGCCTGTCTTTTTTTGGGGGGGTATCATATAGATATACCAACAAGCTTATACACAAAAAAACATATTTAGCCGTCAAATAAGTAATAGATCAATTCCATCCCACGGAGATCGCAAAAAACAATGCTATGCAATAGATCAGATTGCATCACATAGTGATTCAGCAATCGCTGCAGGCAATTGACGTGTGGGCTTGTTCTGCCCGGAAGGGAGGATGCACGACCAAGATCTATAAACGCATCGATGCCCTCTGAGAGATGCTTTGGATTTGTCGTCAGCTCCCACGGCACGATCTACGCGACCAAGTTGTGACCTGACCTGCTTGTCATAAAAAGAGGGACGCTCAATCTATTTTTGGAGGGTTGGGAAATCGTTGCTTAGCAAATTTGTCCCTCCAAACAAAAAGGGATATGAGTGGGACTGAACTGGGTCAAGCGATCAAATTGGGGTTGAATCCCACCCGAGCATCTTCGCCCCGGTCCAGCAGATCGATGCGCTCCAGTTCTGCAGCCGTCAGCACAAAGCCACCAGAGAGATTCTCTTTCATGCGCTCAAGGGATCTGCTGAAAGCAATGGGTGCAATTCCCTTCTGTAGCAGCCAGCTGAGAACCACTTGCGCTGGGCTTCGCTGATATTTGGCACCAAGCTTCTTCAGCAGCGGATCCTCCAATAAGGCCAGCTGACCATGTGCCAAGGGCGAAAATGCCTGAACCTGCAAGTTGTTGCGCTTGCAGAGATCCAACAACTCCGGCTGTTGAAAGTACGGATGCACTTCGGTTTGCATCACTTCAGGCGCCTCCCTGCAAAACGCAAGTAGTTCCTCCCAAGGTTGATCGTCTCTTTGATGAGAAGGCGAACCAACAAACAAATGCAATCTGCGGGGTTCTATCCCCTTGGGTTCTATCCCCTTTTTATGGTTGTTTCAACATGGAACCTATGAGGAAGCACGTCTGATCGCATGTCTCAGCAGCGGGTCCATAAAGATGGTTTCTTGGGAACAATTCCAGGGTTCCAGCGGCGACAAACCAAAACGAGGTTGTCGTTGTTTGTCTTTCTTTCCTCCCTTCCTCCCTTTCTCTTTCTCTTTCTCTTTCTCTTTCTCTTTCTCTTTCTCTCTCTCTCTCGAAACTCATCTCAAACGGGCACAAAGGGCCAACACTCAAAAGGCTACTTTTTCAAGGGTACCTTTTTGGGTGGCAAACCTGGTAACTGTTAAGGGTCCGCCTGTTTTCACACACCCACAAAGCGACCCTGGTGGACGTCTCACCGACCGCTTCCTTGAGGTGGCGCCGCACAAAGTTGGCCACCCCGAGGTGCCGTGTGAGGCCCGCACTCTTGGCATCCTCAGGGTGCCAAAGTATTCCCTTTATACAGTATATATAATATATATATTATACACATTTCCTTGAACCCCTGGAATCGTGTTTTGGGTGCAAACCATCTCAGAACCCGTCTGCGGACGGAGGAGATAGCTCCTAATCCTCCCCACCCAAAAAACGCCCGAGACACGGTGCCTGAACAGGCCCCAAGAAACGACAGGCCTCATCTACACCAACCCCCACAGCCAGGTCCAAGGTCAGAGCCTAAACTTCCATTTGGTCCAGTCCCCTGGAAAAACTCAAATTAAACAAACATATTCAGTAGTGACAAATTCCTTTTAAAACCAACAAGGGAACATCAAAAACATATTCAGCACATGCAAGTACACCACCCCTCACCCCGCCCCGCTCTCGGCCTCCAATGCCCGCCAGGTGGTCTCGCGGAGCCGGCGGTTGGCGGTAGGGCTCTGGATGGCGTCGTTGGTGCCCGGGAAGTGCACCAGGAGCAGATCCACGTAGGTGTCCAATCGGCCTATGGACTCCTCTGGAGCTTGGTGATGATAGGCGAAGGGTTCCTTGTTTCACTTTAAACCGACTCCTCCGGAGCTTGGTATCACCCTGAATTTGAATGATGATAGGCCAAGGATTCCTGGTTTCACTTTAAACCAGAAGCAAGGAAATGGTGCCAGAACCAAAACTTGGGAGTTGGTGTCCTTGTGGTTGCTAGAATGCTAGGGGTTTGCTGTTTGGTTTCACTTGCAACTCACCTGGGAGTAGAAGGTAGGGACCACCAAACTGACTGCTGATAGGGGGGTTTGGAGCCCCAAACTTGAATGCTGATGGGTTCCGTTTGGTTTCTCTTACCAACCTGGAAAGTGGTGCCCGAATCAGAACGTGGGGAGTTTCGCAAAATGGGAATGACCCCGCTTTGAGAAGGGACCACGTTTTCAAGGAAGGGACCCCACCATGTTGTTGCTTCAACAATGCTTCCAAGAGCTGAGTACGACCGTGGTTGTGATGGACGTGTCTCGATTTGGGCTGACTTCTATTTGGCTTGTTAAGGCAGTCCGCAGAAGAGGTCGCAGCACAACAAACAGACCCATGTCCAGTTTTTCTGCGGGCCTTTAGCGGCCGGTTCAGCCTAAGCGACCAAATGAGACCAGCTGTTGGTTGCCACAAAGGTACAAACCAGGAGGTGGTCCATGTATTTCAAAAGCGGAACCTCGGGTTTTGGTGGATTTGTCTCAAAGTTTCAAAATGCGTTCCCAATCTAAACGCTCATCACAATACACGTGGTGTAACAACAAGGGTGAGGTTTAGGTGAATGACTCAAGTTGAATAGGAGATCAATGGGAGCTTGAACCAAGATTGGTCCTGGGTCGCTTGAGACGCACGCTCGCCCATGTCGTCGAACCACACCTTGGCCAAGGTCCGGGGATTCGACCCCTTGCTCAAATAGGGGAATCTCCCAAATTGGTTGGATTGCTTTTGGTTTCCCTGTAACACCATCCAAAAAGGGTACCCTCTAAAAGATGCACCCGTATATTCGAACCACCTAAATCTGAACGTAACCTCCTTTTGGATCACGGGAATCTTTTGGGCAACTGGTTTGTAGCAACTGATTGTTTCAACCCAGCTGTCCATTCGCCACAGAATTCGATGCCCGAAGAACGTCTCGAACCAAACTGAAGCCGATGTCCATGTTCAACCAAAGTGACGCATGTTGCAACAGCCTAGGCGGCCTGCGATTTTCCATGACCCTGAGACATGCTTGGTGTTGGCTTTCCGTTTGTCCGGTTCACCCCAAAAAGTGGGCTACGCTATGCTGCGCTCATTTTGGTCCCTGCCTTGGTCACTAAAAACACCTCCTCCCGCGGCACCTTGGAGCGCACCAAGGCCTTTCCCACCGACACCTCGTTGTCGTAGTGGCTGGCGGTGTCAATGACACGATACCTAAGCCGCAGTTAGAGCTGGATTTGTCGAACTGATCTGGGAAGAGGTGAGTCAAGCTTTTTGGAGTGCGACGAGTGATACCTGAGCGATGAAAGCCAACTGGTGAGTGTTGCGTTCTCGGAGTTGCTACCCTGATTGGTTGTAGATTGGTTTTGAAGGGAAGCCAAAGGAGCATCACACACTTTTGGGGGCCCCCAACTTAGAGACATGGTGGTGCACTTGGTCCAAATGATCAAAGTTACTGAAGTTTGTGAGTGGGAGACATCGCCATTCGCAAAAGGCCAAAAGGTTGAAGGCGGCAACCAAGAACTCTCAGAAAAAGGCGAAAGGATGCCCTGTGCGCTGGAGGGCAAGCAATTCCTTTCCAAACGAGCCAGAGGAAAATCCAAGAAAGCTTGCCAATGACCCCCCGAAAAGCAAACATGCTTGGCTAATATTCCTCTAGCTGGTGTCTTAGCATGCTTTGGCAGGTTTCACAAGATGGCCAAAGAGTCTACATGACAAGAACAACACGAGTACTATCCTGCACGCGTTCTATTTTTCAGGGTCGCCTTTGGGTACTTCCCAAACTGAAACCAACAATCTACCTTCATTTGCTTACGTCCCGAGGAACAAAACAATCATATGTCCAGTATTATAGTGATAATTAGACTCTATTTCAAGCCAACAGGGGAAACTAACAAATAGTGATTTCAGCAAATGGAAGTCAATCTTTCCTTCAGCCAAACAGTCACTCCAATGAAAAAGCAGAGCTGCCCCAAGCTAAGGCCATTGAGCACCTGCTCCTCGCTTTGCTCCCCCTTAAGGCAGCACGTCCCCAAGCCAACGGTCAGTGGAACTGGAGACACCGCCCTGCAACTGGCCGGAGCCATCAGGGCACTTCCAAGGAGACCTTGCCTTCGCCCGAAACGGTGTGAAGGACTGTCGTCTTTGATGGCCTTCATGCAGGGTTGCGACAAGTACTGTCAAGCACCTCTTTCAACATGGCTGAAATGGCTGATGCACATTATCATACATTCTCATGAAGAACTTAGCTCACTTTAAAGGGACTCCTGGATGGATGGCGTTGGTTTAGTTATGAGCCGCTTCCGCCTTCCTTCTGCTCTTCATCCTCTCTCCCAGCAGACCAAGCGGAACCAGAACCCGCCCGGCGTCCCAATGGCCAGCATGCCGCCGAGCGCGCCGGGCGCGCATGCGCCCACATGGCCAGCAGTCGACTGGAGCTCCCGCTAGAGGAGTCCAGTAAATACCCGGGCTCAATGCCATTGCCATGTAGGTCTCTCAAAGCACAGCCAAGGATACACCAGAAAACACAGTCATAATTTATGTAACAATGACCCGAAACAAGTGGTAACACATTTTTGGCAACCTGATCATTGGGCAACTTATCAATTTGACTCAAGCAAATGTATGGCATGAACATAATACTGGTAAGATAATATGGGATTATAGTGGAATTCAATCTGCATGTGGTTGTGATCCAAATGAAACAGATTCTGGATGGTAGTCTAGCGGCCCAATTTGCAACTTTGCACCGCCCAATAAACCTCCACCTTAGTGGCTAAAGGAAGCCAGAGCTGTGCCAAGCAATCGGGCTGGTGGGCACTTTTCAGACCTATCGCTGTTCATACTGTGGATGGGGACCCGAAATCCGATCGACCGAAATGAAACCATGCTTGAACCCACAACGTCTTGTTGGCAGTTTCGTTGGGAAATCGAATCATTCCGGGCTTCTTAGGTGGTGCGAAATGGATATCGTCCATCCACACTATTGAAGGGGTGTCTTTGCCTTGTCTCTGCGCGTCGCACAAGTAAGGAAAGCACATGGTCAAGTACGTGCTAAACACGATTTAGATCTGCTTAGTCCAGCCAGCCTCATCCCAATGGAACATATCTAGCTTTCGACGAGAGCTTCTTGAAAAGGCCTGCAGTTGGGTTCATGTCACATGTTCGGCATTCGGCAGCTGGCCATATTGGTAACGCTCTAATGGCTGCAGTTGAGTTCATGCACGAACTGTTTGGCAATGCATATTGCACACCGTCGACATGGTGAGGAAAACGTTCTGACACAAATCTGGGAGCCAACGTTTTGGGAAGCCCGAAACTTCACATGAAAAAAACAAGGCCGTCAGCATGGAGCTGATGACGGTTTCCACCCTCCAGTCTTGGATGCCTTGGCGACTGCAGGCCGCACTCCAAAGACTAGCTCACCAAATTGAGCAACTCGAATGGCCATAACTGCCCAATGGTGGCGCTCGACTGGGCGACAAGAGCCGCTGGTTGACGCCTGGCCCAGAGACTTGGACAGTGCCTTGCAACCATATACCCTGGGCAATCACGCATCGGTCAGCTCAGCATGCATTTTGCTCTCAAGGAAAAGTGGGATCCATGCCATTCGCAAGTCACACTCAAAGTCTAGCTTTAAAGTGGTCGACCCAACACCATATTATCAAGCGTTAAAAGGGCGGCCACACCTATTTGTGGCTGGGACTGTGCCTTACCAACCTTCGCTTACCCGGGTATTTATTGTGGCTGGCTGCTATGCCCAACTCTAGCGACCCTTTCGGTGATTCAAGAATCTCGTGCGGAGCAAGCTTTTCTCTGACATCTGAGCGGCATTATTTGAAGTGTGAGACATCTGCAGCTGAATGATGCCGCCTTGCTTAATTGATAATGACCAGCGTCCAAATCAGGGGTGGGCGATATTGCCGAAGCCCGTGATGCTCAAAGATGTTCGGTCATGGTATCTGAGAAAACATCGGAACCTCTCATCTCTCTTTGCCAAATGGTGGGCTTCAAGCAAACATGCGTGCGCCGAAGCCGGACCTTTGAACGTAAGGAAGCAATAATCAAGATCTCCAGACTTCTCAGATTGGCCTGTCCAATATCCTGAGTCGGGGATGGCACGTGGACAACTGGGGCCAAGTGTAGCCAAGCAAACACATGTCTAATGCAATGCGTGTACAAACCACTCTCGTTCGCAGACATAACAAGTACATACATCCCGAAATATCCATCTATATATGGTACAGCGTTGCCAGCCCCCCCCCCTCCCCCCCCAATGGTCATGGGTCAGACAAGTACCCCCCCCCCTGTGGTTGTGGTCCTGTGGTTGGGTTGTGGTGGTTTAGGGTTGGTTTAGAATTGGTTTAGGGTATATTTAGGGTGTATTTAGGGTTAGTTTAGGGTTGGTTGAGGGTTGATTTAGGTTGATTTATGTTGATTTAGGGATGGTTTAGGGTTGGTTTAGGTTTAGAGGTGTACGGTTTAGGGTTTGGTTTAGGGTGTATTTAGGGTTGGTTTAGGGTTGGTTTAGGTTTAGGGTTTATTGTTTAGGGATTGGTTTAGGGTGTATTTGGGGTTAGTTTAGGGTTGGTTTAGGGTTAGTTTAGGGTTGGTTTATGTTGATTTAGGGTTGGTTTAGGTTTAGAGGTCTACGGTTTAGGGTTTGGTTTAGGGTGTATTTAGGGTTGGTTTAGGGATAGTTTAGGGTTGGTTTGTGGTTAGTTGCGGGTTGGCTTGTCCTGGGGTGGGGGTGCCGGGGTTTCTGGGTGCGAGTTCAGGGGGTCGGGGTGGGGGTGGGACCGTAGGTGCCAGGATCCGGGGGCTCGGGGTCTCGGGCCCGGGGGGGGGGTCCTGGGGGACCATACCATATGGGGGGGGGGGGGTAGCAACACCGGAACACGGGACCATATATATATATATATATATATATGTATGTATTATTTGTATTTATATTTGTATGTATTATACACGTACAGCACACACACAAACACACACACACACACACACACACACACACACACACACACACACACACACACGCAAACACACACACACACAAACAACAAACACAAATGCGGCCGCGCCGGTCAATCTGAGAGCCCAGCTCGTCATGGGAAAGGATACTCTGCACGTTGTTGGGGTGTGGGGCTGACGAATCCTTGGAGAAAGCGAGTGCATCTACCCCATGTTCCATCTGCTTCAAAGAAACAATATACCTTCTAGACACGACCATTTGCCTCAACAATCAAAACGGGCAAACAACCACATCACACATTCAACAAATGGAATCACATGCAATCATGACTTTGCATTTCGCAACTCCAGTGGCTAGTCCCAGCTGACTGGTTCTTCAGATGTGCCCTGGCAATGGTACACCTGGAAAGCTCCATGGACCAATGCTGCTCATGTGGACCCATTCCCGGGTTGAAAACAGAGGGCCACAGTTTTCCGGCTTCCTTTTTTCCCTTGTACTCATCAAAGGAAACACGCGTAGGGAAGGAACTGTCCCTCACGTGAATTCGGAGGCGAGTTCGGATCAGTTTTTGCATGATGATGCCCTTCTGGCCAAGCGAGATCATGCAAGCCGGTCGCATCTAGCATGTTTGTGGCACGGTGCCTCGTAAGCACCGCCAACACAAATTGCCTATATTTTCCAAAAGGATCGCTGGGTATGGGTGGGTCTCAATATATAGCCTCCCACCCAAAAAAAACCAAGTGGCTTCCGATGGTTTCCTTTGGATTCCTTTAAACCATCGAGGGAAATGAACTCGCGCCTCCAGCCGGTTCCGTGCCCGAACTACACATCCCCATTAAGCTGGGCCAACCTATAGATGTAATGTACATATACGCATATATATATATATATACATATATACATATATATATATATGTATGTTGCTAGCACGTGCCAATTGGCTGTGGCGTGTAGTTTCCCTCAAGCACCCCACAGCCCCACTGGGGAGGGTTAGGACTCCGGCTTGCTCTCTCTTCGCCTAGGCTCAAGCCGATCTGACATGCGAGCGACTGGTGCAAACCTGCGAGCGCTGTCCGCTGAGAGGTGCTATTCGTGGCCCCTTTAAACGATGCTAAAGAGGGAAGCAGAGGGAAGGCCACATGAAACCAACCATTGTAAGGCGGCCCATGAAACAATTAGGGCTCCATGGATGGCACATGCTGCCATATATATATATATATGGGGGTTGACAAGGTTTGAGAGTGTAGGGAAACCACTCGCAAAGATGACTTTCACCACTAAGTGGAGAAAAAGTTGCCATTTTTAGGGGCCAGGAATATTGAATAGCCCCCTTATCTGCAGTTGGAACCTTACTGTGCGGCTTTGCAAGTCTGGGCAGACTTGCAGGATTTTGAACTGGCGCACGCCAAGGCGTGCGCAGGGCCAGGGCACATCGAGGGCGAACAACTCGGATTCAGCCTCGGCATGCGAATCATGCGGACTACAAGACACATTTGGCCATGGGTCAAAAGCCCATACCCCCATTGAACATCCCAATCCCCACTAAAATAGTTTCTAAAATGGGTGCTGAATTCACCTACCCCAAAATGGGATCCCATTGGTTTTGACAACCACAGCCATTTAGTCTACCCTAAACTAGAAGATCGTTTTGGAGGACACACCGGCAAAGACCGGCCAAGCTCCGGGCCCAAAAAAAGACCATGAATTGGCCTGGGGATTCGAAGCACAGCGCCGAAATCGGGCCCTCTTTCCTCGATGGCAGTTGGCTGAAAACGTCACCAACGACACGTGGAATGAATTCTGATTGGAAAGGGACTCTATGGTGCACGGCAGAACACCGCTACACGACATTCGACATATGCGACCGAGCGATTTATTTGAGGCTGTTTCAGCCAAACAACATGTCTTTAACTTTAGTTAACTGGTTGCCCTGAAAAGCTACGCTTGGGACTTGTGTTGACGCGTTTCTGAAGAGTGATCGTTTCTTCCAGCACCCTCCCGGGGTCCATTTGCACCGTAGGCAGTGCTCAAGGGTGGGAGCCATTTTGTGTATGGACCCTTGGAGGGTGCCGGTTGGTCGTTTTTTTTGTTTGGACTGCCCTTTCAAACTGCGGTTTTGGGCGAATACGAAGTAGCCCAGGGAATCAAAGAGGTACACGTGGTTCACGAAGTACCAAAAGAACCCAGTCCCAAAGCACAATGTAGAGGGTGCCGGTGACCAGATTGTGGGAGTGACAGTTAATGAAGATCAAGTTTGGGGAGGTTAGGAAACTGGCAGAAGAAGGTAAAGACAAGGGTCGGGCCCGGGAGCACCTCGGCGACCTGCCGCCCACCTCCTAGTGCCGAACAGCTGGAACACCACGGACCTTTTCCGCGATGGCGCAGCCAATCGCCGCACTATGGCGAACGCACGCAAATCCAAGGAAGTCCCGACGGGGGATCCAAATCTTGAGCCAAACGGCCATTCGGCCGTTTTGCCACATGATGAAACAACACGTGAACAAAACACACCCCCCTCATCCGATATCTGGACGAGAGAAAGGAT